TTTTTTTTTTTTTTTTTTTTTTTTTTTTTTTTTTTTTTTTTTTTTTTTGATATTTTTTTTTTTTTTATTTTTTTTTTTTTTTTTTTTTTTTTTTTTTTTTTTTTTTTTTTTTTTTTTTTTTTTTTTTTTTTTTTTTTTTTTTTTTTTTTTTTTTTTTTTTTTTTTTTTTTTTTTTTTTTTTTTTTTTTTTTTTTTTTTTTTTTTTTCTTTCTTTTTTTTTTTTTTTTTTTTTTTTTTTTTTTTTTTTTTTTTTTTTTTTTTTTTTTTTTTTTTTTTTTTTTTTTTTTTTTTTTTTTTTTCTTTTTTTTGTGTTTTTTTTTTTTCTTTTTTTTTTTTGTTGGTTTGTGGAGAGGAGGGGGATGGATGGAGGGTGGAGGGATGGGGGGAGGAGATGGATTGGATGGAGGATTTGTTTATTTTTTTTTTTTTGTTTTTTTTCTTTTGTTTTTTTTTTTTCTTTTTTTTTTTTTTTTTTTTTTTCTTATTTTTTTTTTTTTTTTTTTTTTTTTTTTTTCTTTTTTTTTTTGTTGTTTTTTTTTTTTTGTTCTTTTTTTTTTTTTGTTTTTTGTTTTTTTTTTTTACAGCACCAAAACTGTGGCTGGATGCTGAATAGACCAGAGCCTAAAGGTTAGCGGCGTGGTGCTAGAGACATCAAAATATAGCAGAGATGCTCGTGTTGAAACCCTGTGCAGAGCTTTGTTGTTTTTGGAGCAGAAAAATTTCAACTGAGATGTTTTGGTGGAAAAGCTGGAAAAGTTACATCTAAGAAAAAACTAAATCACAACTACGTGTGCTACAAGTACCTGCACAGCCCTGCAAGGCACTACGTGCTGCACGCAGGCTGCATGCCTCCAAGGCGCTCGGTGGAGTCCTTCATGGAGAACTGGCCCTCACGCGGACCACGGCCATCGGTGGTCGAGGCCGCCTGGAAGAAGCCTGGCACGTGCAAGTCGCTGAAACTTGGCTCTGGCTCCAGAGGCTCCAGATCGCACGCCTGTCGTCTCGATGAGGCCGGCGAAGGCGATGATTTGAGCACCACCCAGCACAGGCAGCTTGGAAAGAGCTGCAAGGCCGTTGGGCATGTCCTGACTTGATCCGGTGCGACTTTCGAAACGGCTACGTCGAAGCTGCACTCTATGAAGCTGAGTCGCAGAGAACTTCAAGCCCAACGAGGGGGACAGGAAGCCTACGCAGCAAGACATCACCAGTCTCTACATGGTTCAGTGGCATCCACATCATCCACGCACCTGGCCAGCGAAAGTATTCCGGGACAATGTAGCCAATGGTCGCATACCTCAGCAGCACTTCGCTCCAAGCATACGAGGCCACATACAATATTTCAACAGCTGGAGCACATCGCGATCCGCCCATGCTTGAGCTCCACCGCGCGACGGCGATTGAAGGTGGCCTGCATGCATTTCGAGCAGGCGGAGCATTCAGCCTGTGCCGGTTAGGTACTTGTAAGTCGGCGTACGCCTGCCTTCCGAAACCTTGGAACAACTCCCCTCTTGGACATCATGGTTCACAACTTCTCCTTTGCCGAGCCTTGTCCTTGTCAGCCGCAAGCCCTAGGGGATCCCAAAATCCCACCGGATCTTGCACACCCAGCTCCTGCAAGGGCGCGACTGCGATGTTTCAGATGTTGAAGTTGAAGCATGAACTGTTCACCGGTAGCATGGCATGTCAAGGTTAATTTCGGAGCAGGCCGAACAAATGAGTCTCCAAGGTCTTGACATGACATGACACAACATTCGGCATCCCCAACGATCAACACTCAAACACCAAAGCTGGCCGCACCGTTGCCGGGTCGAAGCTGGCCGGTGTCGAGGTGGGTCCGCCGAAGAAGTTACGTGCGACGTGAGGCCGGGATGTCCTGCCCTGCGTAGCACAAAACAGCTCTCAACAAGCTTGCCTCTCTCGCAAGTCTCACTCACAGCTCTGCTGTCAGGCCACGGAAGCGCGAGACAAGGCTGCCACCAAAACTCCTGGCAGGATGAATCTCGACTTGAGATGCATGATTGTTTTGAAAGCGGCGGTCGCAGTCCCATGCCTGCGCTGGCGACGGTGCCGACGGTAGCTGCCGAAAGGCCGCTGCTGGGTGTCTGCGCAGCTGCGTGTGCGGCTGTGCGGGGTGCCTGGGTGCCCTGAGTGCTGGGAGCTCCGGGCACGAAAAGTGGCGCGGCCACCTGAGCAACTCATGCAACAGCACACCGCGCCGCAGGACCGGTTTCTGCAAGAGCTTGGTAGCTCGTGTCGCTTGCAAGATCGCTGAGGCATTGGCAAGGCCGGCAGCGGGCAAGGCAAGCGCCAGGGTACGAGGCGCCATGGCGAATCAAACCACGAAGAGGGAGTTGCAGAGCCCAAATCTGCACCAGATGCTTGACAATCATGCACTAGCCTGCTCAAACGTCTCGACAGGAACCCTCTGAGAGCAAAGCCCGACATAGTCATGCATAGGGCAGTGGATCTCCGGACCTCCAAGCAATGGGTTAAAATGCGGCCATGCGCGTTCGTCTTGGCGTCATGTCATTGCAATTCAATGTATAGGTTTGCGAGGAAGCTTCTCATCCACAGCAAGGCAATGCAGGGAGTGGCTGCAGCAGTGTTTTGATTCTAAGCTGGATAAGGAAAATGGGCTCTGCCACTATCAAAGCGGGCCGACACTTATAGCTTCGCCAAAGGCCAGCAAATCGATGACTCCCTGCGGCTCATACGCGGGTTCACTGGGCTCAGCAGGTTCAGCTGAACGCCATAACAAACATTTGATGCACCTAAAGTTAAAAAGCAGACCGCTCATCCGCTCATCCCCACTGCTCGACGGCATCCTTGCCTGTGTACATTTCGGCGGCGATGATGCCGATGGCCGCAAACATGGCGAAGCGGCCGTTGTTGATCTCCCTCTCTCGCATCTCCTTGGTGTACTGGTTGAAGTTCATGGGATCCCCGAAGTTGCCGGGCTCCTTGCAAGGATTTTATCTGATGCGACTCCTTGCAAGGAAGCAAGTAATGAGTAAGAAAGCAAGGAAGCAGTAAGTAAAAAAGTAAGTAAGGAAGTAAGCAAGCAAGCATAAGAAGGTAAGGAAGAAAGTAGAAAGTAGCTCAGTATCCAACTATCTATGCGCTGATCTCACATCAGACATCATTTGATAGAGATGTACGGCTCCTTGTCTGCAACCTGCCTCCACGGCCCAAGCTCGAGGACGCCGGCCAAGATCCAAAGGATCACGAAGCCGTAGCTCCCGGGAGCCTTTTCGATGGCCTTGATGCCGGCCGGCATGCTCTCGAAGCCAGGCAGTCGCACGAAGTGCTGAAACACCGCTCCGACCGTCGCCATCATCGCCACGCGGCCGTTCTTCAGCTCCGCCGCGCGAAGCCACGCGAACTTCTCCTCATCGCTCAGGTCCTGGAGGTACACGCCCAGCGGTCGGCCCGGCTTGGAAAAGTTCAGGGGGTCGAAGAAGCCAAGAGGTGGCATGGCCCCGACCTCCTCCGAGGGGTCGTAAGCCCTCAGGGGCGACGCCGTGTATGTGCTCCAGTCTCCCCAAGCAGAGCCGGTGAGACCATCTTGGAAGAACATGCCTGGCCACGTCTTGAATGTGCAGGTAAGCCTGTGCAGCCACAAATCACGCCAAGGGGCCGATGATGGCCATCATCGCTAAGCGGCCGTTCGCCAGCTCGGCCGCAAGTTTGGTTTTGCGTGCCTCTGGATCCTTCCCATGAAGCATTGCAGTGCAGACCGAAAACAGCAAGATCAAGCCGCCTACATGCAAGGTGATCTACGAGTAAAAGTGTGTTCGGCACCCTCGCACCTCAACCTTTCCCAGGAAGTTCGGGAAACCCACGCCATAGTTGCCGGGCTCGGCGCTCCTAAGCATTTCATGCAACGAACCGACAGGCGTGCTGCAGCACCGCCGCAACGAACGGCAGCAGGGTTAGTTGTAACTTCTAGTTTTCTTAGATGTAACTTTTCGCTTTTTCTTAGACGTAGCTGTTTCGTACCTACCCCACGTAGCCCACCTATGAGGCTGAAACAGATCCTACCTGGAGCCGCTCGATAGCCCTACATCAAGGTGCTGTGCTCGTGAATCCAGCAAGAATCTAAGAAGCTTTAACCCGAACCCAAGACGAGAATTCTAAGGAGTGAACACCCAAGAACAAAACCCTAGAAAGTGAATCCCGCCGGAACCCTTTCTCTAAGACGAAAACCCTGAGGAGCGAGTCCAGCAGGAACCCTTGACCGAAGACCAAAACCTTAAGGAGTGAATCCAGCAGGAGACTTCAACCCAAGACGAAAATCCTAAGGAGAGAATACCCAAGACGAAAACCCTAAGGAGAGAATACCCAAGACGAAAACCCTAAGGAGAGAATACCCAAGACGAAAACCCTAAGGAGAGAATACCCAAGACGAAAACCCTAAGGAGAGACTACCCAAGACGAAAACCCTAAGGAGAGAATACCCAAGACGAAAACCCTAAGGAGAGAATACCCAAGACGAAAACCCTAAGGAGAGAATACCCAAGACGAAAACCCTAAGGAGAGAATACCCAAGACGAAAACCCTAAGGAGAGAATACCCAAGACGAAAACCCTAAGGAGAGAATACCCAAGACGAAAACCCTAAGGAGAGAATACCCAAGACGAAAACCCTAAGGAGAGAATACCCAAGACGAAAACCCTAAGGAGAGAATACCCAAGACGAAAACGCTAAGGAGAGAATACCCAAGACG